AAATACTCACAAGCCCCTCGGGCAATAGTAAAACAGTGTTTCTCAGCCCAAAACATCATTTAAAATATCATTTAAGTCTCAAAACTGAATAAAAACGGCTGAGTAGTAAAACAGTGGAAAATAACCTGACTGAGTTCAAATAGTAATTCAAAACAGTGAGGAAATATCAACAAACCGAAGGATTCAAGTAATTGGCACAAAGCCCAAATACGGCATTCAGCCCAAAGCATAGTGATAGCAAATAAGTTTCAGTCAAATACGCGGTAAAATCATCAACCGGGACGGACCAAGTCACAATCCCCAATAGTGTATGACCCCACGCTCGTCAACAAGTGTGTGTCTCACCTCAACATAGCACTACGGTGTGCAATCCCGGGTTTCAAACCCTCAGGACATCATTTACAATCATTACTCACCTCCAACCGGCTAAATCTCTAGCTCGCGATGCCTTTTCCCTTCGAATTGGCCTCCACGCGCGTCGAATCTATCCAAAATCAGAATGAAGACGTCAAAATATGCTAAGGGAACAAAGCCCAAGCGAAAATAATCGAAAAATACCAAAAATCCCAAAATTAGCAAAACCCGAGCCCCTGGTCCACTTCTCGAAACTCAGAAATTTTCACATCAATAGATTCCTTATCTCCCCACAAGTTCATACATATCAAAAGTGTTCAAATCCGACCCCAAATGGTCCTTCAAATCCCAATTCAAAAGTCCAATTTCTCAAGCCCTAGTTCTTCAATTTTTGGCTTAGTTTTCATGATATTCTAGGTGGAATTCACATAATAATCGAGTTTTTAGTCCAAGAATCCTGCCTTCCAATGATTCCCCTTGATTCCCTGTTCAATCTCCTTCAAAAACCTCCAAAAACGAGCAGCTATGGGTGAAAATAGACCCACCTTCGCGAAAGACTTCTTTTAAATTCTTCTGACCAGTTACTTTCGCATCTGCGATGCTACAGCCGCTTCTGTGGTACCGCATATGCGGTTACTCTTCAACTTCTGCGGACTCCACTTATCCTGCCAAAAATCGCATCTGCGGCTTCGCAGATGCGGCCATCTTGACCACTTTTGCGGAAACTGCTAGCCAGCCCCAATTTCGCATCTGCGGCTTCCTCCCTCGCACCTGCGGCATCGCACCTGCGGTCCCAATTCCGCAAGTGCGGAAATACTAGAAGCAGAAAAATCTGCAGCTTCCATAAACATTCAACTTCTCCGTTAACCATCCCGAAATCACCCCGAGGCCCCCGGGACCTCAACCTAAAGCACCAACACATCCTAAAACCTTATTCAAACTTGTTCCAATCCTCAAAACACCTCAAACAACATCAAATCACCCGAAACACCTCGAATTCAAGCCTAAGTTTCTAAAATCTTCCGAAATACGCTTTTGATCAAAAATCGAACCAAACCTCATCTGAGTGACCTGAAATTTTGCACACACATCCCAAATCACATAACTAAGTTACTGCAACTCTCGGAATTCCATTGCGACCCTTATATCAAAATCTCGCCTACCCACCGAAAATCGCCAAAATATCAACTTCGCCAATTCATGCCTAAATCTACTCCGGACCTCCAAAATCCATTCCGATCACACTCCTAAGTCATAAATCACCTCCCGAAGCTAACCGAACCATCGGAACTCACATCCGAGCCCTCTAACACCTAAGTCAGCATCCGATTGACTTTTCCAACTTAAGCCTTCCTAAAAGAGACTAAGTGTTTCAAACTTCATCAAAACCAATCCGAATCCAACCGACCAACCCGATACCTCAAAACACGGATAAACAAGGTATAAAGAAGCAGAAATGGGGGAAATGGAGCGGTAACTCATGAGACGACCGGCCGAGTCGTCACACTTTGTTTTAATGGATTGAGGTGTGCCATTTAACTAGATCGCCTATGGCCCTCATGAATGTTAAATATTAAAAATGAACTTTGTAGATTACTTTAGGCGCGTTAATTATATAATTATTACGGTTATTAAAATCCGGGGGTACATTTCATGTGGCCAGATTCTAACTTCCAACAAGGTTAAATAGAACGTGTCGTAAATCACGGGTGCATTTCATGTAGCGTGGCTTACGGTGTGTTTTAAATAACCTTGAAATTCCTTAAATAAATGAAAGCGGTTTTAAGTTAAAAATGCACATAGGTTTAAAAATATTTTAAAACCAGATAATTAGGCCAATAATAACAGTTGAGCGACCGTGCTAGAACCACAGAACTCGGGAATGCCTAACACCTTCTCCCGGGTTAACAGAATTCCTTACCCGGATTTCTGTGTTCGGTGACTATAAAACAGAGTCAATCTTTCCACGACTCGGGATTTAAACCGGTGACTTGGGACACCATAAATTATCCCAAGTGGCGACTCTGAATTTTAAATAAAATAATCCTGTTTCGATTGTCACTTAAATTGGAAAAAACTCCCTTATACCCCTTCCCGGGGGTAGGAAAAAGGAGGTGTGACACGGGGGGAAGTGGGCGTGGATGTGAGGCTTGACTCATAGGTCATCCCAAGTAGATGCAGCTTCAAGTACCTTGGGTCGGTTATCCAGGGGGGAGGGGAGATCGACAAGGATGTCACACACCGTATTGGGGTAGGATGGATGAAGTGGAGGTTAGCATCTGGAGTCTTGTGTGACAAGTGAGTGCCACCGGTACGGGGCTGAGTGTTGGCCTGTTAAGAACTCACATATCCAGAAGATGAAAGTAGCTGAAATGAGGATGTTGAGGTGGATGTGCGGGCACACTAGGATGGACAAGATTAGGAATGATGATATTCGGGAGAAGGTGCGCGTGGCTCCCATTGATGACAAGATGCGGGAAGCGAGGCTCAGATGGTTCGGGCATATACAGAGGAGAAGCCCAGATACTCCGGTAAGGAGGTGTGAGCGGCTAGTTGCGGAGGGCATGAGAAGAGGTAGAGGGCGGCCTAAGAAGTATTGGGGAGAGGTGATCAGGCAGGACATGGCGAGGCTTCATATTTCCGAGGACATGACACTTGATTGGAAGATGTGGAGGTCAAGTATTAGGGTTGTAGGTTAGGAGGTAGTTGGGTATTGCATTAGTTCGTTCCGTTGCTAGATTAGTCTTGTAAGGTTTTGTCTAGGTAACGGGTGGCAATGTCGTGTCTTACTATTTCTTTTTTAGTGCCGGACCTATTTACTAGTTATCGCTTTTGTTTTGCAGCTTTCTTCTGGATTTTATGTTGTTCCTGCTTTTCTTATATTTTCTTATGGTTTCTGTGATGATACTGATATTGTCTCTTTTCGTGTTTTTGTCTTCTTGAGCCGAGGGTCTTTCGGAAACAGCCTCTCTACCCCTTTGGGTAAGGGTAAGGTCTGCGTACATACTACCCTCCCCAGACCCCACTAGTGGGATTTCACTGGGTTGTTGTTGTTGTGTTACGTCTTACAATAATATATAAGGAGATTGCTCCATTTTCTCTATATTTTACATGGTATCAGAGCAGATACATTTGAATTGCCGATGTTGGTTTAGAAAGTTTGCCGGAAGTCATACACTGGCTCGATATTTTCTATCAAAATTTTGTGGTTTCTTGTTCATCAGACTTCGATTGGGTAGATTTAAAGCATTTCAAGTTTTGTCAAGTTTGTTTTCTTTGTTCAAAATCACCTCTCTTTTTTGACTTTCCGTTTGCTGATTTGGTATTTGATTACCATCTAAGGACTCCATATTCTTGGTAAAATTCTCCTCTGTGAATCTTTAGCCTGTTGAGCTTTATTCAAGTGAAGATCATTCTGGTGATTGAGTTAGAAGAGATTCTGTTACTTGATCTTTTGGATATTTGTTGGGTATCTTTTTAGTGGAATTGGTTCCTCTTCCATTATTTTGATACTTTGAGTGTTCTTGTTGAGCAAATTCTTGGTGGAACTTTTCAATTATATCAGTTGGAACTCTATTCTGTTTGATTCTCACTTATTCTCTGGTTCATTGGGCATACTTCTGATTCTGTATTCCGTGGGGTAACTTTATTTGTGTAAAGTTCTAGTTGTGGTCATTTTGTTGAAGTTCTCTTTTGTTTACTGATTTCATGGACTTGTGGCTATGTCTCATAGTCCAATAATCTTGGCTTCACATGAGGTTCTAAAATTCCTTCATCAAAAATCAACTAAGGAATCTTCTTCGGTTGCTGATTTTGCTGGGTCTGATAAATTATGTTTTATCACCTACTCAAATAAATGGGTGATTAATTCATGTGCCACAAATCACATGACAGGTAATCCAAATATCTTCTCTAGTTTTTAGTCACACAAAACAATCTCTCCAGTTACTGTAGCTGATGGATCAACTTGTAACAGTGTTGGATCTGGGACTGTTAAACCAACTTCCTCTATTAACCTGTCATATGTATTAAGTCTACCAAACTTGGCCTTTAATCTTCTGTTAGTAGAATGACTATAGACCTTCATTGTTGTGTCGCTTTTTTTCCCGACCATTATTTATTCTTAGATCTTACAACGAAGTAGGTCATTGGAAAAGGATATTTATCAGGTGATCTATATATGCTTGATGAATGGGAGCCCCGATCTGTTGCATGTTCGAGTGTTATGTCTCCTTTTAAAGCACATTGTCAATTGGGACATCCCTCTTTACCTCTGTTGAAGAAGCTCTGCCCTCAGTTTTAGAATATTTCTTCATTGGATTGTGAGTCATGTCGATTTGCAAAATACCATCGCATCTCATTAGGTCCAAGGGTTAATAAGCGAGTTGAGTCAGCTTTTGAGTTAGTTTATTCTGATGCTTAGGGACCATGTCCTATTGTTTCCAAAATCAGACATAGGTATTTTGTCACTTTTGTAGATGGTTTTTCTCGAATAACTTGGATTTTCCTTATTAAAAGACGCTCTAAAGTGTTTACTCACTTCTCTGCCTTCTGTGTTGAAGTCAAACCTCAATTTAATGCTTCGGTACGTATTCTAAGAAGTGATAACGCTAAAGAATACATGTCAGAGTTATTTCGGTCCTATTATGAGAAAACATGGTATACTACATCAGTCTTCATGTGTTGATACACCTTCTCAAAATGGAGCTGCTGAGAGGAAGAATAGACATCTACTTGAGACATCTCAGACACTTTTGTTCCAAATGAAGGTCCCTAAACAGTTCTCGGTTGATGCAGTCTCTACAACCTGTTTTTTGATTAATCACATGCCATCTATTGTGCTTGGTGGTAATGTACCTTACAGTGTTCTTTTCCCAGACAAGTCATTGTTTACGGTGGAACCTAAGGTGTTCGGATGTACATGTTATGTCCGAGATGTTCGACCATCTGTTACCAAGTTGGATCCCAAGGCATTGAAATGTATTTTCCTGGGCTATTCTCGCCTTCAGAACGGGTTTTGATGTTATGCTAATGAATGTGGCAAATATCTAGTGTCAACTGATGTGGTATTTTCGGAGACTACACCATTCTTCTATGCACCTCCTATTTCTACAGTCCAGGGGGAGGAAGATTAGTGGCTAGTATATCAGGTTACCCATACTTTGATAGAAGAACCAAATATTCCTCTGTCTCCATTTCTTCTATTAAGCAACAATCAACTATTATGCCTCCAGCACCTGCTCCAACTGTGCTAGCAAGACCGCCAATTATTCAAGTTTACTCGCGGAGGCGAGAGACAAATGATACATCTCCTACAACAGTTCCTTCGTCATCAGATCCTCCTCTACCTGATCCAGTAAAAGACCTTGACCTTCCTATTGCTCTTTGCAAAGGTACATGTACTTGCAAATCCGCATATTCCATTGCTAATTTTATTTTTTACGATCGCTTATCCTCTACGTATAGAACTCTGATCTAGACTCCATGTTGGTACCTAAAATAGTGAAGAAAGCTCTAAATTATCCAGAATGGTCTGATGCAATGCTTGACGAAATACATGCCTTAGAGGATAAACAAACATGGGATTTGGTGGATTTATCCAAGGAAAAGAAACCAGTGGTATGTAAGTGGGTCTTTACAGTTAAAGGTAATCTAGATGATTCCGTGGCAAGACTTAAAGCTAGACTTATGGCTAAAGGGTATGCTCAAACTTATGGGGTGGATTATTTCGACACCTTCTCCCCGTTGTCAAACTTACTTCTGTCAGCTTATTTATTTCTCTAGTTGCTTCTAAGAATTGGCCTTTACATCAGTTGAATATCAAGAATGCGTTCCTTTGTTGTAATCTTCAGGAGGAAGTGTATATGGAGCAACCACCCGGTTTTGTTGCTCAGGGAGAGTATGGGAAAGTCTGTCAAATGAAGAAGTCCTTGTATGGCTTGAAGCAAAGTCCTCGAGCTTGGTTTGGCAAGTTTAGTGGGGTAGTTTACTAGTTTGGGCTAAAAATGAGCAAGTGTGATCATTCGGTCTTCCATTGGCAATCAACAACTGGAACTATTCTTCTTGTAGTATATGTTGATGACATTGTTATCACAGGAAGTGACTATGCGGGAATTTCTTCCCTTTAAGTCTTTCCTACACACTAGGTTTCATACAAAGGACTTGGGTATGTTGAAATACTTATTGGGAGTAAAAATAAATCGAAGCCAGAATGGAATTTTTTTATCTCAGAAAAAATATATTCTTGACTTGCTTGCAGAAACTGGAAAGTTAGCAGCTAAACCCTGCAGTACTCCAATGGTTCCTGATGTGCATCTTATGAAAGATGATGACGATCCTTTTGATGATCTAAAGAGATACAGGAGGTTAGTTGGAAAATTAAACTACCTCACTGTGACTCATCCAGATATCGCGTTTGCGGTAAGTGTTGTTAGCCAATTCATGTCCGCACCAACGGTCAAGCATTGGTTAACTTTGGAATAGATTTTATATTACGTGAAAGGAGCTCATGGACTTGGCATATTATATAGTAATCATGTCCATACTCGTATTGAGTGTTTTGCAGATGTTGATTGGGCTGGATCCAAAATTAATAGAATCTACTACAGGCTATTGTGTCTTTGTTTGAGGGAACATGGTATCGTGGAGAAGTAAGAAGCAAAGTGTTGTATCTTGATCCAGTGTTGAATCTGAGTACAGAGCTATGTCTCAGTCTACGTGTGAGATTATATTCATCTTTTGACTGAAATTGGGTTGGAGCATCCAATACCAGCAAAACTCTAGTGTGACAATCAAGCTGCCCTCCATATTGCGTCAAATTCGGTGTATCATGAAAGAACTAAGCATATTGAGGTTGACTGCCATTTTATTCATGAGAAGATTCATGAGAACTTGATATCCACTGGCTATATGAAGACAGGAGAGCAACCAGCTGATTTATTCACAAAGGCGTTGAATGGAATTCGAGTTGATTACCTTCGTAACAAGCTGGGCATGATCAATATCTATGCTCCAGCTTGAAGGGGAGTGTTACAGAATGGATGTAGACATACTAGAGAATGAACGTAGACATAACGAATATACACACAATGAATATAGACATACTATTATATAATGTACATAGTTAGAAAAATTATAGGGATTCATACCAGATTTATAGGATCTCCTTTTTTATTCTTTTTGTAGTTAAAGCTATATGTAATTGTATATATAAAGTCAAACCTCTCTATAACAGCCTCGTTTGTTCCGAAATTTGTTTGGCTGCTATAGTGAAGTGCTGTTATAGAGGATATATATTACAACATAATATAATATTCAGTTCCGAGAAAAACTCGACTTTTATAGTAAATGGCTATTATATAGGGATATTGTTATAGAGAGGTCTGACTGTACTTGTTACTTCTTGCAATAATATACAAGGAGATTGCTCCATTTTCTCTATATTTTACATTAATTGAATTCTATTGTATATACAGGCATCTTTATTGTCTGTGATGAGCTTCTTTTACCTATTCTATCCACCAAAGGTTGTTATTGTATCATATTGAGCTTCTTTGTAGCCAAAGGGATGCCTAAGTATCATAATGGTAATTTTTCTTGGCCATATCCTAATTGTTGTAGTATCATTATTTCTCGCTTCTTCAACTCCACCAAATACACTAAGCTTTTTGACAGATTAGCTTGCAAGTCACGTGCTGCAGGGAATGTGCAAAACACTCATGAAGCAGTGTTATTAATACAATGTCTTTTCTAGGAAATAACAGTAGATTATCAACAAAGCAAAGATGTGCGATCCTTGGCTTTAAACATTTTGGATGAAATTAAATTTCTTGATTGTTTTCGACCCATTTAAACATATACTTAGGTACCCCATAACTAAAGCAAAAAGGAAGGATGATATTAGATCTCATTGTCTCGTTGCTCATATCTGAGATAGTCTGCTCTTTGATAAATGTTGCACAATCACGGCAACTTGCAAATATTTTCCACAAAGCTCAGGTTGCCAACCATACAACATAGTTTGTGGAATATTTTGCCAAAAAGGATCCATTCAATTATTTTATTTGGTAATGGTTTAGTGACATTCACCTATATTAACATCCTAGCAAACGATATCTTTGTTTGTTTAGCAGTACATCTGCAAATAAAGAAATCTCAATTGCATTTGCAATAATGTTTAAGGAATTAGAACTCCAGCAATTATCAGAAAACTTCGGAAATTTAACCCACAAGAGGATATTAGTTAATAACATAGTAACCATCTTAGTGAATAAATATTTTTGAAATTGACATTTATGTAATGAGCTATACACTTCTTCATTTTCTATATTAGAAAAAATATTGCAAGCGTAAAATAAAATAATATAGTATATAATATCTTTTGGGGAGAAATAAGAATTTATGCATTAATACTAAAGCAGTGCCATAGGATTACAAGTTTTACTAGTGCCATCATGGGCACTTTGGTTACAAAATAGAGAGGTGTCATGTAAGACACATTGATTACCCATAGTTGCTAGTCTATTACATGCATCAGTAGTTAGATATTTAACAAAAGTTATTTCTTCGTTTGCATCCTTCTTGAGACACTTCAGCACACAAAAGGGTGGAGCAGCCAGCATTTGAGTATTATATATTTTACTTAGATTCAGGGCCTCCTTGTCTAGTTTGTGGGCTACTGAATTTCCTTGACGAAAACTATGCAAGATTTTCCTCTCCTTCATTTGGAGCATTAACCACCTGCAACAAAGAATAATATTGTTAAAAATAATACTTCCTTGCGTTAAGTTTTGGATTGCTTCTGTGGAATCTATTTCTATCTCTAAGGGGTTGTGGTTATTTTCTATTGTAATTCTTAGTCCCTCTTGTAAAGCAAGAAGTTCTGCATGTAGCTGTGTGACACCATATGCTCGTCGCTTGAAACCCATAATCCAATCTCCTTTGGCATTTCTGAGAGCTCCTCTGAGGCCACATTGCATTATGTTATGTATGAAGGCTCCATCTACAATTAGTTTAAACAATCTTTTACCAGGCTTCCTCCATTGAATATGAACAGAAGATGTTAAAGGAACATGCTTATGCTTTTCTGTCAAGAATTTGAATTCAGTAACATGATGAATAATCCTCCTAAGTGAGACATCAAGAGACGTGTTATTATGGTTATTGTGGTTTCTATTAATCCTTATGCCCCATATGTCCAAAGCAAATAGGTCCTTCCGTGTAGATATGGTGAAGGATTTTTTAAGTTTAGATCACGAATCATGATAAGCCATGAATCATGAGAATGATGGTGAGTGTTGGTGTGCCCTAATAGATTCCAGAGACCCTGGACAATCTTACATCCAAGGAAGATATGATGGATAGTTTCAGGATTTTTCCTATAGGCAGGGCATGTTTCATCAATAATTATGCCAATGTTGGCCAGGTATTTTCTGGTAAGGGTTCTGTTATGCATGCATAGCCATAAAAAGTGCTTGATTTTACTAGGGCATTGGTATTAACAAATCCACTCGAAGTCTTTTGGGTGGCTTTTCCTATCACTAAGAAGTTTTTTGCAAGTGCCGGAGTCGAATATTCCATTACTACTTAGACCCTAAATAGGGATGTCATGCATATTGTGGTATATGAGTGTAGTGATAGAGGCGATGTTATTGTGGATCTTTTCAGGAAGTTCAAAGGACAGTCGTGTTAAAGACCAACCAATGTCGTTAAAAATATCTCTAATTTTGAGATTATCTTCAAGTTTTGTTAGAGGACCTTCAACGATGCTACGCAAGGAACGAGTATTTGGTATCCAATTGGTATGCCAAACATTGAGATTTGAGGTTGTGGAGGGGAGCCAACGAATTCCCTTGACACAAAGGAGCCAGCCCATCAGGATGGTTTTCCAAATGAAGGAATTGTTGGTGTGTGATCTATTAAAGGCATGCTTAGCTGCCAAGAAAGTGGTCCAAGGAGCTGCGGGGGATGATAAGAGTCTCCAAGCGAGGCTTGTTAAGGCAATGAAATTTTTTGAATTAGCATCATGCAGGCCCAGGCCTCCTTCTCCTTTGGATTTGGTTAATACGCTCCATTTCACCATGTGGAGTTTTTTCTTATTGGTAGTAGTTCCCAAATAAAATTCCTTTAGATTTTATCTATATGCTTGAGGACCTTGGTAGGAAGAGAGGTATATTGCATATAATAGCTAGGAATTGAACTAAGGGAAGCACTAGCTAGTGCGGTACGCCCAGCTAAGGAAAGAAAATTAGTTTTCCAAGATGCTAGTTTACTCCGCATTTTGTCAATGAGGAACTGGAAATCAGTGGCTTTAGGGGTTTTTTCTGAACATTGAAAATCCTAGGTAATTAACAAAGTTGGTGCTGATTTTAATACCTAGTATCTCATCCATATTTTTGGCCACCTTAGGGTTACAATTACTAGAAAATTGATTTTTGATTTGGTAGAGTAATCTTTTTGTAATGACCCGACAGGTCATTTTAAGCTCTAGCGTGTCGTTTGACGGTTTGAGGCCTTAAGCAACTTCACTTCAGGTATTATGACTTGTACGCGTGGTCGAAACTGGAATTTCGGAAGTTCAGAGTTGATTTGGAAAGAGAATTCTCATTTCGGAAGCTTTAAGTTGGAAGAATTGACTAAGTTTGGACTTTTGAGTAAACAGCATCGGAATCGAGATTTGAAGGTTCCAACAGGTTCGTATGATGATTTTGGACTTGGGCGTATATCCGAAACGGGTTTTGGATGAGCCGGAAGCATTTCGGCACCTATTGTGGAAGTTAGTATTTTTGGAAGAATTTCATAAGTTTGGGTTGAAGTGCATTTTAGTGTTATTGATGTCCGTTTGGAATTTCGAGTCTGGGAATAGCTCCGTATGGTGATTTTGGTATTGGGGGCGCATCCGTAAGTAGATTCGGAGGTCCGTAAGTCATTTTGGAGTCATTTGGCTAAAGTTAGAAATTTGAAGGTTTTTGAGAAGTTTGACCAGGAGTGGACTTTTGATATCGGGGTCGGAATTCTGGAAGTTTGAGTAGGTCCATAACGTCGAATGTGACTTGTGTGTAAAATTTTAAGTCAATCGGACGTGATTTGATAGGTTTCGGCATCGAATGTAGAAGTTTGAAGTTCTAAAGTTCATTAAGCTCGAATTGGGGTGCGATTCATGATTTTGATGTTGTTTGATGTGATTTAAGGCCTCGAGCAGGTCCGTGTTATGTTATGGGACTGGTTTGTGTGATTGGACGGGGCCCCGGGGGCCTCGAGTGTGTTTGGGGTGATTTCGGATTATTTTGGGCTGTTTTACTATAGTTGATGCTGGTGTCTGGTGTTGTTCTTCGCGTTCGCGAAGAAGGATTTGGCTTCAGGGATTTTGTTCTTCGCGTTCGCGAAGAAGAAAATCTTTGTTACGCAGGTCTGACTTCGGAGGCTCATTTCTCACAATCTATAAGGAATTTGGAGATGATCCAAAAATGAAAGTTGTAGCCCTTTGTGTCTAGTTTTCAGAAAGTTGTAGATCTTGATGTATATTTTTCAAAACATTAAACCATTTGTCATTTAGAGTTTTGTACAAAAATTTATGGCCATTATACTAGAGGCTGTCTGAGAAGAGTTTGGAAATGACTTTTGAGAATTTTGTTCATCGCGAACGCGATGGGGGTCTCACGAACGCGAAGAAGGATCACCTGGGAAGTGTATAAGTTTGCAAAAATGGGTTTGGCTCATTTCATCTCATTTCCTCCATGGGATCTGACCTATGAGCGATTTTGGAGCTCCATCTTCATCATCCATGTCAAGGTAAGTGATTCCCACATATTGCAAGTTAAATACTTGGATTATATATATATTTTAACATGGAAATTCATGGAAAATTAGTGAAAACTTGGATTTTTGGTAGAAAACCTAGAAATTGGTATTTTTGAATTTTGACCACGAATTTGGGCATGAAATTGAGAGTAAATTATATATTTGAGTTCGTGAGGTTATGGGTAAAGTTTATCTTCGAAAAATTTCAGAGTTCGGGCACGTGGGCCCGAGGGCGATTTTGTCATCTTTTCGACCGGGGTTAGAAATTATTATAAATTGAATTATTATGAGTAATTTAGCATATATTAATGGGTTGTCATAATTATTGGCTAGTTCTGTAGCGTTATGCATCGATTTGAGTCTTCGGAAGGGCGTGGAATGCCGGTTATGGAACTTCGGAGCGAGGTGAGTCTCCTTTCTAACCTTGTAAGAGGGAATTGTCCCCATAGGTAAATTAATTGAATATGTGCTTCTATTTGTGGGGGCTACGTATGCACGAGGTGACGAGAGTCCGTGCGTAGCTACTATTATGCTTATGTCCGGGTAGTCTAGGACCCAAAAGCATGCTCTACTTGAAATAATTGTAACCTTATTGATAGTTTAAATTATTTTAGTCGCATCGAAGTGGTAAATAATTTTCTAAAAGAGTTAAACTTCGTTTCTCGACTTGTAAAGGAGAAATTGACACCTCCTTGAATAATTGTTTCCCTGATGAAGTCTTGATTGACTGTTTGAATGCGTGTTGCTATGTGTACCTGCGTCGCATGTATGATTCGCGAGCGGGGTGATTGTTTATTTATATTTGACTGCATCGCATGTATGATTCGCGAGCGGGGTAATAGATGCATCTATGGTTCGCGCCATTCGACCCTCTGGCAGTGCACAGTTTAAATATTGTTGGATCGGGCCGTACGACCTCGGCATGATTTGCGCATGCTTGTATTGCTTGCCTTAAAATTCATAGATGTTGATATTTGTTCTCCCTGGCCTGAGATAAAAGTATAAATGATGAAAATGAATTTGGGAATTTCCTATAAACGAAAGAATTGTTTACTTGCCTCATGCTACCGAGTTACAACCATTTTTATGAAAATCCTCAATTTACTTTATTATTAGTATATTATTATTGGACCGCTAGTAAGTGTCGAAGTCGACCTCTCGTCTCTACTTCTTCGAGATTAGACGGGATACTTACTGAGTACACGTTGTTTTTGTACTCATGCTACACTCGTTGTGCATTTTTGTTGCACAGGCACATGTACCTCTAGCGGCCTAATGGGCGTAGCAGCATGGATGATATGGAGACTTAGGTGAGCTACATCTCTCGAGGCGACCCGCAACCAGCATAGTCTCTTTCAGTGTATTGTATTTACCTTCTGTCCAAATTTGTATTCCGGACAGTTATTGTACTTCATTTGATTTCCTAGTGATTGCTCATGCACCGAGTTCTGGGATGATTATGGGATTATTCGGTATTTAGATTTGTTAAAGACATCATTATTATTTCAGTAAATTTCATTATTTATTGTTTAATGTATAAAAGAAATGATTTTAATAAATACTAAAAATGAGAATTTAATTATCTTCTTGGTGTTGGCTTGCCTGACAGTGGTGTCCGGCGCCATCACGACCCTTAGTGGATTTTGGGTCGTGACACTTTTGGCCTGAATGGTTATAAAAAAGATCTAGGCAGCGTTGGATTGTGGAGCAAGTTTTCGTATTCACTTGTGATAATAGTGTAAGGTCATCCACAAAAAATAGGTGAGAGAGATTGGGGCAACGATTATTGATGCGGATAGGATCCCGATTCAATACGTCCACTTGATATAAAATGAGCTGGGACAACATTTTCATACATAAGATAAAGATATATGGAGATAGAGGATCTCCCTGGCGAATGCCCCTACTGGAAGAAAAATAGTTAGTGACATTACCATTTACTAGTACTGCAATATTTCTTGTGGTAATGCAGTGCATAATTAATTTGGTAATTGAGGAGGGAAATTTGAAAAACTTAAGGGTGCAATAAATAAAAGACCATTCGAGGCGATCAAAAGCCTTTTCGAGATCTAGTTTAATAATCATGTTAGCTTTCTTCCCTTTCATGTTGTTTAAATGTTGAAGGAGCTCTTGAATAATTATAGCATTGTCACCGGCCCTATGATTTTTAATGAAACTAGTTTGGTAAGGGCTGATGATATTTTGGAGGAAAAGTTTAATGCAATTTGCTATAATCTTAGTAATAACCTTGTAGATGGTGTTACACAAACTAATAGGACAAAAATTCTTTAGATAATTGCATTGTGGAATTTTGGGATAAGGCATAGATATATTTTGTTTACTTCTTTCGGGAAACATTGTGTTTGAAAGACATTGTGACAAAAGGAGATGATTGAGTTACCCACTATACTCCAATATTTTTTGATAGAAGAAAGGATGAAGGTCATCTGGCCCTGGGGCCTTGAAAGGTTTAAAGGAGAAAATGGCATTTGTAATTTTCTGAGTTGTTAGGGGGTCATCTAAAAAGAGAGGTCAACCTTGTGGCTTATAGGGTTGTCTCCCATGATTTGGGACCAATTTGAGGCAGTGTGAGATGTTTGAAATATATATTGAAAATACGTTACTACATGATTAAGGGTTGCCTGATGATCATTAATCCAATGTCCCATGTTGTTTTTAAAAAACATAACCTTATTCCTTTTTTTCCTATTAGTGGTTGTGATATGAAAGAACATGGTATTTGCTTCTCCTTCAATAAGCCACATAATTATGGATCTAAGTTTCTAATTGTCCTCTTCCATTTTGAGAATACTATTAAACTCATTGGTGAGGTCTTTCTCAAGATTTTGGAGAAAAGGGCTAGTAGGGTAGTGATTGGATTTCTGAATACCCTTTAGTCTTGCAAGAATTTTTTTCTTTTTACGAAAAATGTTGCCAAAGGTGTATTTTTTTTCCAGATTTTAACCTTTTCTATGGAAGTGGTGGTGGCATCACTCAGGTCTTGATTTTTCCAGCTCTGTGAGACAAGGGTTTTAAAAGAAGGGTGGTTGCACCGAGCTGAAAAGGTCTATTCCTATAGGCAGGTTTGGGAATTAATTCTATTAGGAGGGGATTATGATCAGAGTGAGTCTTTGGTAGGTAGATGTCAGATGCATGTGGGAAGATACTAATCCACTCTTCATTAGCAAAAACTTTATCAAGTCTTTCCATAATGAGATCATTCTTTCTTCTCTTCGATTTGACCAAGTATATTTACAACACTTAAAACTAATTTCAATGAGTTTACAGTTATTAATATTAGCCCAAAGGTTTTTAATTCTACATTTATCAAATAAGGTTCCCACCATACTTTTCATTAGAGGACATGACATCGTTGAAATCCCCCCCCCCCCCCCATAAGCCAAGGTCCAGTGTAATTTTGGGCCACTGACTCAAGGTTATTGCGAAGAATATTACGAGTATATTTGTCAGTACTAGCATAAATAGAAGTAAAAGGCCAGTTATAACGATAAGGCAGCACCTCTATAGTCTATAGTAGCCGAGATTTCCTGGCTTCTACGAACAAAATTATGGATTGTGACAATGTTGTGATTCCAAAGAACCACCATGCCTCCTGCCTGTCCTTCAGCTTGGATTCCAATCATTTCAGTAAAACCAAAACCATCTAGTAGGGTGGAGTGGTTATCCATTCTAGTTTCAAAAAGAGTGACCATGCATGTTCTATAGGTGTTAACTAATTTTCTGAAGTTTCTCCTAAAGTTTTCATTATTACCTCTGCGGATGTTCTATATGATGAAGTTAGTAGCTTGATTCATGTTGATGAGGGGGTCTTGTTGGAGGCTGTTCGCCCTAGCTGGAATTATTAAGGAGGGGTTCCTCCTCAGGCTGGGAACTAGTATCATTGCATGTTGTGCCACTGTTGGATCTTGAGGTGGACTTATATCCATCGAGCACTTGTATAGTCCCATTGGACAACTGAGTATCTGCTTCTGATCTTGCATCTCCGTAAAGAGAAATATCTTTACTTCGTTGAGGCTTGAGAACTCCACCAATGATGGTTGGTTGAGGTTGTCCCCCTCTTGATCTGCTATCATTGGCTCTAGTGGTTCTTGTTTGGCTCTTGTGGAGCTTAGGGGTAGTGATTGTGGTGGTTGTGCCATAGGAGGTGCATTTTGATGCCGATTCACTGCACGATTTGCATGCACATCCCATTGAATGTAGATTGGATTTAGGTTGGATCTCTAGTGGAAGAAGGGTTGGTCCAGAGGAAGATATTGTGGTTGAAGTGGGACAAAATGATGAGGTAAGTTCCACTGCTCCCACATCGTTTGGGTGAGATTGGGGTTCATGTTTGGCGCTATGGGGTTGAGAATATTGTTGATCCATACATGGTTTATGTAGTTGCTCATTGCTAGTTGCATTAGACCAATTGAGCAAGATAGTGTAAGTTTTGGAGCACTAGGACAATTTTCTGACCATCGATCATCATGTTGAGGGGGATTGCATGCCCCATCAGGCCCATCTCTACCTAAGAGAGAGGTTGATGATCCGATGGTACTGAGAGTTGGACATAGCAAGTTGGTGATTGGCTATGTGGGGTGGTAGTGGTGGTAAGTTTGCCATTATTTGGCTCCTTTGTTGCCTTAGTATTGCGATTAGTTTGCACCTTCTTCTTAGGGTGATTGGAATTCTTGGCATGTTTGTTGGCTGGATTTATATGTGAGGGATTTGAAGGATTGCTTGTTGCGCTAGTAGGGAAGATAGGGGTAAGGGGAGAGGTAATGATCAACTCTTTGCTTTGCATGTCCATAGAGTGGAGTAGCGTGTGATTTATATTAGGCTCACCGAAATCTGCATGAGATTTGCTTAAAGGCACGTGCTCAGTTTTACTGGCCATTTGTGTGCTAGGGTTTTGAGCATGTGACAGGTGGATTGTGGCACTAGTTTCATGCAATATTGATTGTTTTTGATTGGGGAGATTAGTAAGTAAATGAATATTAGGGAAAGTGGAAGCGGATGGGGTGATTTGCATGCTTATAATATCGTTAGTAGAATTATTTGAAGGTGATTGGTAGGGATTAGTAGGGAGTGATTATTAGAGGCATGCATGCTTGCTCACATGTCAATCACCATTCCCTCCACGTTTTCCCCTGTTGTGTCCATTTGTAGATTAAAATAATCTTTTTCAATTAATTTTTCCAAGGGGGGATTGGTGGTGTCCCCCAAAAACCATTGGTTGATTGTGGTAGTTTGAAGGATGGTTTTCGTGACTAGGGGGGGGGGGGGTCTATCTGTACGTATTCCTTCTCAATAATATTTTGATTAGTAGTATCCCTTGCTTTGATTCCAAAAAAATGCACTTCGACATCAAAAAAGCGTATTCGTAAAAATATTTGGAAAAGGAAGGGATATTCGATAGCATTAAAGGCTTTTTCGTTAGCGAAATCTCTTTCTACCGGGAATTCAAAAAGTTTTTTTAAACGCCAAACAAAAATAAATAAGTAATAAAACGTTCGAATAATTTGAATCAACTTGAAAAAATAATTCAATTATTCTTAAATTATTCAATTATTATCTAATTGAATAATTTAACGATTTCCCTTTCATATTTGATATTGATTAGCTCACCAATCAATACGTAATGGAACTCGCTTCGCTTTGAGCAAGAGATTTATATTTAAGAGTTGAGTATTAAGATACTTACCTGTGGTGGCGTCAAAAGTCTTAACTGAAATACCTGACTCTGCAGTGTGGAGGCAGCTTTAGAAGTCTTTGTGGGTGGTGGATCTTTTCTCCTTTTGAATGATACTGTTTGCCATTCCCCTCCGTCCATTTTATTTTCGGTATGTTCACTGGTTCCTTACAAGTAGCAACTTCTTGGGTTGATGTTGATTTCAATAAAAAATTGTATTGCCCGGCAACGTGGCCAGTTTGCCACAGGATTTGCATAAGACACCTTCCCCCTCGTATACGATAGGTTGCTTATAATCTCCAATATAAACGAATTGCATAACTGGTATATTGAGGGGCAGTTCAACACATAGTCTAACATATCTTCCCCTAAGGATGGATGAGGTGCAAGCATCAATTTTCAACAGTCTTCCCAACGTGCTGCCAATTTTTTGAATGCATCGTAGAACTCAGTCGGAAGTTGTGGGAGTCTTATCCAAATAGCTGTGAATAGATTTTTTTCTTGGGATGCTATAAAATTTGGTTCCCACTTTTGTACTGATATGAAGAAACATATATGAACCAAGGTCCATTATATAGCGCTTTTATCATGTTTTCTTCTTTTGTAAATTTTACAATGAAGTAGTCGGAACCCGGATCAATAAGAGGAAAGAGTTTTGAGGGCTTTCATAGTTCCACTATTTTCTTTTTAAGGTATTGGTGTGGAACGCGTTTGCCTTGCAATTTTATAATTAGTGAATAGCGTCATGGGTGGTAAATTCTCTGCAGGTCTTCTTCTGGAGCGTCTCTCATTAGAAAGCTAGAATGTGTAATTAATATAGTATATAATATAATATAATATGCAATTACAGAGATTAAAAAATAATTATGGTTTGAGAGATTAGAAAGAAACCATATAACTATTACATTATTTGATTTGCCATTATAAAAAATAAACACCACATAAATAATGAATTGTGGATTGTCAATTTTAGATAAGACTAGTCTCAGGATAAACGCTTTACGTGTGTACCCTAAATTCATGAGTACATAATTTTAAAATTATTATGCATGTATATTAGTATTAAACAATGTGATTTTTTTTAAAATAAAAATTAAAGATGAGAGTATGGAGTCCTAAAATAGTGAATGTTGATCCTATTTAGCTAGCCTATCAAAAAAAATCTTGTGCCACCTAAATCCGCGGATGCCTTATTATGTTCAACGAGGATTTATTTGAGAATATCTTATGAAAGTTATTGTTATTTTTTTGACCTGATACTGAGAATAAATAATTAACCCAAAAAACTTTTAGCACGATTCTTCAAAATTTATGAAGTAATAAATTAAATTTTGAATTTTATGTTCTTTTTTGGAGACTTTGAGATAAGGTGGGTGACTCTATCACTCCTAGAAAAAAAGAAGTGACAATGTCAAGTCTAAAAATGACTAATGTTGAGTTAATATTCTATAACAAATAAATTAATATATAAAAATATAGAAAATTATCATTTGTTAGAATAAATGAAAAAAAATTTAATGACAACTCAGGTAGAAAATATTTTGTCATCTACTATTTCATCCTTGTTGCTTGAGGTTTGTATTAACAAATTCGACTCTTGCTACCATACCTTAATCGATTTTGCTTTATTTTTTTAATTTCTTTCTTCACTAATGCTCTTCTAGCGGAAACAAATTTATGTACCTTAATAGTTCTGTCAACTTGAAAAAGATGTTTTTATATGATTAATTTAAAAAATAATTCAATGAGATTCTTTTGCTATTAGTTAATTTAAAGACTTATTTATTTGTTCTTAATATTAAATAAAATAATTTTTTTGATTAAAAATCATTGTATTAGCTTATTTAAAATTTTAAATACTTGACTATGATTATAATTTAATAAAAATTTTACTTTAAAGGGTAGAGAAGACGCTCTGATATTTTTTTGAATTTTTGAGTTTGCGAAAGCATTGGTGTTATTGACTCTTGCCAACCACTTCTCTCGCTTTCTCTGTTAAATTCTTAAATACTTTTTTAGTTATTTCTTTTAATTACTGAGAGTAATTTTCAAATATTACACAAGAAATTCAGTAGAAAGATAATTTAAATATAATACAAAAATATGGAATTTATTATTCATTGGTTTCGAGCGCTATGACTAAGAAGTTGGAAATGTCTGTTACTCATTTTCTTTGATGGTCGGGAATTGGGAGCTGCAAGAAGAGATAAATAATAAGCTTGATTGGCTATTTAACGTGTTGCACCTCCACGAGTTGTTGGTAAGTTCGTTACGAAGCAAATATGTTTTTTCTACTTTCAAAATTCTAATATTAAGAAAATTGACGTACGAAAAATTATATTATATTATACAGTTCAAATGAGGAGATAATTAATATAAGGTAAAATCTTAATTGATTTTAAAGTCCTAAATATTAGGACTTTGTACATGTTTCAAATAAGGAAAGATCTAATAACTAAATTTTAGTTGATTTTAAATTCCTAAATATTAGAAAAAAATTAAATTACTATATTAGCAGTGTGAACTCTATTTTTAATGGGTATAAAAGGCGAACGACACTACGCTAAGGGCCTCCGTGCTTTTAGTATAGATATAGATATAAATTCACATAGAATTAGGCATGAATTATGTATTATTTTATGTTTTGTGGGTCTTTATAAACTTGATAGTTTTATGACTCTATCTCTTTTTTAACACATGAGAGATTTACTTTTACACATAAGAGATCTATCTTTTACACATAATAGATCTAAAAAGGACACTTTCTTAATTTTAACAATGTAAATGGCCATAAAGTCCCATTTTCCAGTGGTTAAATGAAGGTGACGCTAACACAAAAAATTTCACATCACTATCATGCAAAGAAGAAGAAAAAATAGAATACTTAGCCTAAAGATGGAAATTGGTTTTATGAACAAAGCGACATCCTGGCTATAGTTAAAAACTATCACAACAACCTATTAAGTGCTAGCCAAAATGTTTCTTACAAAAACATTT